TTTTCACTCGGTGCGGGAAGATGCAGGCAAGGCACTTGCCCTGCAGCTCCCCCCTGCCTGGCTCTTACAGGCGTGCTGGTATCGTGCTCTTTCTCTCTCACTTTGCCAGAAAAACCTTCCACTAGGCACATTAAAATACATATTGTTGTTTCTTTGTGTTGTCTAAGCATAGCCCCAGCGTGTCCTCGCAGCCGCCAGCAACCACCAAGGAAAACCAGAAACAAAAAAAGGAATTCATTCTTGTTTTCTTCACGCAGAAAACCACAACAATTTCTTTTTCTCATGTCTAATTTTAACCAAATGAAAAACCACTTACATATGAACTTTAACTTCAGAAATACCTTATTTTATTAGCTGTTTTCTTCCCAGTCTCTTTTCACTGAAGCCAGTTCCCGGGCACTGTCCCAGCACGGTGCCCTAAGTGCTGACTCAGGGGCCAGACCAAGGGCCAGCTCCGCTCACACCGATGCTTCCAGGTTAGCTTGGGACCATCTTTTCTTCAAGCTGCTTTTCACCAGCTGCCCCAGCCCTCCCATCCCAGTTAGTCCATCCCAGCCACAGGACCATTTCTCCAGTGTGCCCACGTCCCATCCTCCAGCAATTTCAGCCACTCGCCCCAATTCGGTGCCAGCTGTAGATTTGCCAAGTCCACCCCATTATCCAGGGCATTAATGAAGATGTTAAACAGCACCAGCACCAATATCAGCCAGTTTTTCACCCACCACGTAGTTTATCCATCCACTCTATACCTCCACTGGCTTAACTCCAAGGCTGCCATGGGAGACTATGCCAAAAGCCTTGCAAAAATTGAGGTAACACCATCCATCGCACTCTGCCATCCACAGAGCCAGCCTCTTCATCACCGAAACCCATCAGCACAATTTGCTTTCGGTGAATCGGAGCTGGCTCTTCCCAATCACATGTTTGTGCTTCAGGCACCTGGAAATGCTCCTCATGGGTAGCAGAAGGGGAAGGCTGGGACATTAGCACTGTGCACATCACGGCTCCTGATTCATAGGTCACCTGTACAGCCTCCACTCAGTGTCTTGGTCCTCTGGAGATGGTGAATAAGTACGTTATTACCTGCCTCACATAGCCGATGTGTGCCTTAAACGATCTGAGTCCTTTATGTGCACTACTCGGTAACTACATTATAATTAAGAGATTCTTATCAGCAATCATGAGTCAAATAGAACACACCAAGCACTGGGAACAGCATCCTAATGGAGGAGATGTTTTGACAATAAATAATTTAGTCCTCGTTCCTGCCGCGTGTTTCATTTACAAGGTCAAGACTTGGAACATATAAAAAGCCTCTGTCCCTTTGCCTCTCACAATCTGCTCCCCTGGTCAGCATCGGCCTTTCCTTGTGAATCAGGTAAAACACATCCAGGGTTCTTTTTTGGATGGGTGTCTGGGTTCAGGAGGTGACAGACCTGGCACGCTTGCACCGTCCTTCAGACCATGCTCTACACACAAGGGCTAGAGGATGACGGGCTAAGCCAAGAAAGAAGCTGTTGCGGCAATTGGTTATGGGATTTACAGCAATGCCACTATATGCATTGTGCCGTATGGTTGTTTCTGTTCTTGGAGGAAAAAAAAATCAAGGGTGAGGTCAGAAAGAGGGTTTGGACATAATCTGACCAGTACTGGGCAACTGCAAGAATTTCCTTTAGATCCAGGCTTTCAGGATAAGCAAGGTTGACCTATGCCCAGCTCACTAGGGTGGCTTTACGGGAAATTAAATGAAAACAGAGGAGACGGAAATGCAAGCATATCTGGTCATGT